CTACTACCTACTACCGTACTACCTACCTACCTACCTCCTACCTTCCTACCTACCTACCTACCTACCTACTACGTACGTACGTACGTACGTACGAGTAGAGAGAGAGAGAGAGAGAGAGAGAGAGAGAGAGAGAGAGACTGATGTTATAATTTTGTGGCCCTCCAACTCTCCCTGAATCTTTAAGGTAGCACATAGGATGTGATCCTATCAGCTAGACCACCTCTTAATGTGAATGGATTACGCTTTTTATAATGATGATAATAATAAATAAAAGGAAAGGAGTTCCATGTGCGACATCACCTGCATCTACAGCTGTACACGACACCTTAAATATCCATGTCCAAAGGACCGTAGGGGGCCAAAATTTTGGGACATTTCTTGATTCACCTAGAGAATAATTTCAATGTAAAAAGAAATCAAGCTCTAAAACTCTAGATCTGGACCATCCAAAAAATGACAACTTAGGAACATCAATTTGTTGGATGATAAGATCCAGAGTTCTAAGAGCCCAGAATCCTGTTTTTTTTAATTGATTTTAGGAATGTCCCTAAAATTTTGACACTAAAAATCCCTCTAACATGGGCCTTTTAGGGGTAGTGCACCCTTGTATAAGTAGGCGGCATAGCACATGCAAAGTCTTCCCTAAGTAACACCCATTGATACCAATAAACTAAAAAATGTGAAGCGTTAATGCAATACATGGACATACAAGCTTTAAAGATTTTGAATAGCTGGATGTAAACCAATTCCCAGTTAACTGGGGTTGGCTACACAAATCTTGTGCCACCATTCCGCTCTATCAAGGGCCATACCCTCAGTCAGACTTGATGAAAGAAGAAGACAAAAGAAAAATAATTTTAAAAGCATCAATCAAGATGAACTTACAAGGGAGTATCTTTCAAAGTCAACTATATACTCTAGGTGAAACATAGGAACATTAGATATTTCACACAAAACTACCTCCTGCTGCAGCATGATAGGCACAGTATTTAAAGACTATACGATAATGGCATCAATGAAATTGTGTTTCATAAGATAGATCTCATAACCAAATGGCAGACAGAAAACATGTTAAATATCACCTTAAAAGACTATATCATATCAAAATAGCAGACATAGTTACCTTGTTAGCTAAATCCACTATAATAGAGGCAGCAGGTTCACGCAAGTATCGCTTCTTATTAGCAAGTGAAACTACAGAGTTAATAAATTCCATAATAGATTTAGACTTTTTATCTGAAGTCCATTCCCCAGCTATTCGACCAGATCTGGCAAGAGCTCCATATGCAAACAGACGGCCCAAGTAACAATCTCTTACCTCCTGCATTACCGTTTCAGAACATGTCAAAGCTTTGTCCATATATAGCACAAAAGTCAAAACATAAGAAAGGATATGTTACAAGCATAGGAACCACAGAAAATGATGCAATTTATGCATGCATATGCAAATTCATTGTCTGGAAGGCAAACAAGCAGGTTTCACCCGACCAGATTCGAAAACAGCATAAGATAAAGACTGCGCAACAGCTTATTTAACAAGTAAAACCACAAGAATAACCTAATTAGCCACTGGAAGGTGAAAGAAAGACATGTCGCCCAGAAGGCGACCGTTAAATAGCTATAAAGATAGATGCAAGAAAATAACTAATATATATATAATCAGAACTAGAACTTCTAAAGAGACAGAAAAGAAGTAGCAGCCCTGTTTTGATTAGTTTTTTTTTTTAGAATGTTAACTTTAACAAAAGAAAATGTACAAGTACAAAAAATGATCTCCCCCACAGGGAAGCAGAATAAAATTCACCCAAAGGATGAGGGATACACAAAATTATACATCCATGGCTTCTGAATGAGTCAAGTTGGGAACCGAGTGAGACCCAGAATCAGGTGGGTCCACCATCACTAGGACTCGATGCACCTTCTTTGCAAGGGCATCAGCTAGGATATTGGCCTCACGCCAGGTGAGAGAGTCCATGAAATAGAGAATGGCCTGCATATCTCGCAAATCTTGTTGAAAATATAGGCTAGTCTCCACGGGTGTGTTGCCTTTCCTGAGGTCCAGGAAATGACACTTTTAGAAACCCCTTCGACCGAGAGGGCATTACACCAGCTGGGGTTGAAGGCCCCTAATCCCTCAAGGAAGACCAGAGCTTCTGCAGTGATGCTATTGGCAATGCCGATCGATTTAGAGAAAGAGAAGAAAATATTGCGCACATGGTTTCTGAAACTGGCCCTGGGTTGCCAAGGGAGCAGCCATCGAAGTTGAGCTTTAGATGACCTGGTTCAAGTGGCTGCCATGTAACAGAACGGGTAACCCCAGGTGTTGTAGGATGGCATAACTGCCAATTGAGCGAATAATCCGCTGGTGAGAAGTGCTTGAACTGTTTGCGGTTTCTCGCCCAAAAGGTCAATAGGGATCTAATGTGCTCCCTGAGCCCTTCCAAGGTGGCTGAAGTTCCTCTGAAGATACGACTATTGCGCTCGGTCCATATCACCCAAAGAGAAGCAGATATGGTCACCTTCCATAGCAAGATGCCTGCCTTAGGCCACAGCATAAACTGAAACATGTTGAAGAGGCAAGGGAGGGAAAGTGGGGTGACCCAAAAGAGACCAAAAAGCTATAAAGAGGCTCCCCAAATATCGGTAGCCAGTTTGCAGTGAAGAATAAGGTGGGTGCTTGTTTCCTCTTCACAAAGGCACATGATGAAAGTAGCCACCCTTTAGAGAGTAGAGAATCTGTCTCTAAGGGGAGTATGACCATAAGGTTCATCCAAAACACCATGCAGTTAGCAGTTCTAGGCTGGAACCATAAGTGTGACTTTGAAGATATTGTAGCAGCGGACCAAGCCCCCAAGGGCCTTGGGCCTACACACTTTGTCCCATGCCACCAAATGGATTTTTTTGGAGTTTCCTTCACCTGACCATAAGAAGTTTCGAATCCATTGCTTCAAGTGGGCACCAATGGAGGTTGGCATATGAAAGAGGGACATTTGGAAGACAGGTACATTGGACAAGGTAGCCTTGAACAGCGTCGTCCTACCTGCCGAGGAAAGGAAACTACCTTTCCAGCCTGCGAATTTCGATCAAATCTATCGATGAGATGGCTCCAAATGCTCTTTTTTGGGTTTGCCTAAACATTGGGTTTGCCTAAACAAAGGGGAAGGCCCAGGTAAGTAGCAAGCACGGGCTCGATCTTGCAACCCCACCTATTGGCAAAAGAGGCTATGAAGAGCAATTTGTAGCTATCCTTATCATCTTGGTTTTGTCCATGTTTACCTTGAACCCCGTGGCTCGTTGGAACCCTTACAAGGAAGAGGAGAAGATTGTTGACCTGTCAATCAATGGCACCGCAAAACACCAAAGTGTCGTCAGCATATTGGAGATGGGAGACCACGCCCCCCCACCCCACTCCCCTCCTCCGGGCAATAAAACCTTTCAAGAGGCCATGGTTGTACATTCTGGTCAATGATCTACTAAAGACCTCAGTGACTATGGCAAAAAGGAAAGCCGATTGGGGGTCCCCTTGCCTGAGTCCTTTGGAGGCGGGGAAAAAACCTTTCGAACAACCGTTAATAAGGACAGAGAAGTGGGCGTTGGATATGCATCCTCTAATTCACATCCTCCACCTAGGCCCAAACCCCATTCTTCTAAGAGTTTCATCGAGCAAAGTCCAATCCACGTGAACATAGACCTTGCCCCAGTCTAATTTGATAGTTATGCCCGATGATTTGGCTAGATGGCAAGAGTGAATGCACTCGCGGGCAACCAAGGCCCCATCCAAGATTTGCATGTCTTCAAAAGGGCCCTTGGTTTATGGATATGACAAGATTCAAAACCTCCCTAAATTTGGTCGCCCACACTTTAGGAAAGTCTTTTATAGGAACTACTGATGAGGCTGATGGGCCTAAAGTCCTTAAGTTCATCAGCGTCCTTAAGTTCATCAGCGCCCTCTATTGTTCAGATGAGAGTTAAAAAGCAAGCGTTCACGGCCTTATGGATAACTTCTCTCTTGTGAAACTCTTGAAGAAAGGGAGGATTTCCCTGTGGAGAATGACCCGGAACTATTTGAATAACGCCACAAGGAAGCCATCAGGCCCTGGCGCACGGTCCTGGCCCATGTCGGGGATAGCCTTGGCAATTTCAGATTCAAAAAAGGGTCGTTCTAACCATGCAGCTTTACTAGGCAGCAAAGATAAGAATGAGAGGTCCGTCACCCTGGGTTTGGGACCAACCGGGCTTTAAAGAGCTTCTGGAAAAAATCCAAGATCACAGCCTCCACTAAGTGAGGCTCTTCGAGAAAGGAGTACCAGATATAATCTGGGAAATAGTATTATTTCTTCTATGGCAGTTAGCCATTCTGTGAAAAAATGCACTGTTGTGGTCCCCAAACTTCAGCCATTTTATCATGGAATGTTGGAACCTCTCCCTGAGCTCATTGAGAATTACGTTTCTTGTTCCTGATGAGCTCGGGGAGAGGTCCCTGTTTTGATTAGTTAGAAGTAAAAAGAGACATTACTATTGAAAGATATTTGAACTAAGGTATGAATAAAAATTAAGGATTAAAATAACCTGTACAAAGGACATACCTATTAGCAAACGATTCCTCTTTAGGGCATTCTCTTTATAGCTCATTGCATATGGGGATTCACAAAAATATAATGTTATGGAGCACGTTCATTTGAACTCAAATCATTCTTGATTGTATCTTTAAAGAAAGCTGCCGGTTTCTCCATGGGTGTTCTCACCACAACAGCTCCAAATTTTCAAACAAGAAAGGGAGCTCTACAAGCAGGCTGGTGATAACAGTCACATCTGTAGGAATTCTAAATTTCACAAGTCCGTGAAATTCACAAGTAATCCTTGCCAGGCTAAATATTTTCCATGTTCTTATCTGACTAATTTTAATTTATAGGTGGCAAAATCTTAGTTCCTTGTAGCTACTTGACAAAATTTGGCAGATTCAAAATGAAAGCAAATCTATTTTTTAGTATAACAGTTTAATCTGTTGATCCAGAATAATAACTCATGTTCAACAATTAATATAGCTCTTTTTTTTCTTTTGACAATTGACTGAACAATGATTATTACTTTGTGGCAAGTTATTACATGAAGACAAAATCATATCATTATTCCTAAGGCATAGGCCAAAATCAAAAGCCTAAAGAAGCAACCATTGCCATTTACCTGGCCTTTCATTGAAGAAGAAACCTCCAGTAATTCATCAATCAGTTTCAGCAATGAGTCCACCTTGATGCTAGGAATGCTAGCAATGACAATAGTCAAACCCAATGCAAAGCCTTGTCTTGCACACTACAACACATAAATCATTAGACCATCCAATAAGCCACATACAAATTTTCATTACTGAAAAACAATATAACATTCACATGCAACATATTACAGAAGGGTGGAAAAAGGTCACCATCATTAAGTATACATTCACATCCAAGATTGAGGATGAATAGAGACATATTAATTCCACATAACAGAAAGACTTCCAATATTAATGGATGTCGATACAAAGAAAAACACCCATGAATGATTGAGGGTGAATATCTTACAATATTGGGTTTAGAATACATAAAACACTTTATAAAATGTTTATCGTAGCCCACAACAAAAACATATCACATAACATTAGACACCCAATTAGGTAGAACTAAAGAAGGGCACAGAAAGTGTACCTCTCTTGAAGAAGAAACTCCACGAATTAGTCGGCGAAGGGCATATCTCAATGAAGGGGCACAATTATTGAGACCATCATCCTTGGCAGCTTCCAATTGCAGGTCATCTTCACTCGAACCTTCCTTGATGCACTTCTCATGTGCTTTCTGAACTTCGCAAAGCTCCTTAACCAATGCTTCAGTGGCTGCTTCTCTAGCCATGGTATCAGCCAATGAAAGATCCCTAAAAACACTTATGTGAAATCCAGGTATATTACTCAACAAAGGGGGGTTCGATACTACACTCATTTGGTGCTCCGAGCTTTGAACCAAAACACGAGTTCTCGATGGCATGTTGTTTGATTCTGTTTGATGCTTCTCTTTATCCATTTCTCTCCTTTTCTTCCTTCTCTCCATTGGGTTTGCAGGAATGGAGGAAAAACCTGCTTTGTCCTCATTTTCTGCTTCTTCCCTCTTCTTCTTCCTATTCTTCTTGTTTTCCTGAGGGCTTTGTGGGTTTTTAGAAAGAGAAGCATCCTCAGATTCCTCAACCTCATTCTCGGTTACCTCCCTCTTTTTCTTGTTCTTCTTCTTCATTCCTTGAAGGCTAGTTGGGATCTCAGGAAGAGAAGCAACCTCTGCTTTCTCAACCTCATTTCCCACCTCCAGGCTCTTCTTCTTCTTGTTGTTTTTACTCATTTCACGAGAGATAGTCGGGCTTTCACAAAGAGAAGCAATTTCATCATTCTCAACCTCATTTTCAGCCTCCTCCCTTTTCTTCTTGTTCTTCATCTTATCCTTTTCCTGACAGTTCCGAGTTGGGTTTTCTGTATAGCTTTGGTCTCTCTAGGAACCAATTTCTTCGACTGAATCTGAACTTCTTTTCTTCTTAGAAAGGATGCCACTTCCAAAAACTTACAAACCTTCAAATTACATGTATCATCAGCAACTAAGTTTCTACAACATCATACATGAAATTCTTCTCTGCAACAAAAATCAGTATGCAGTAAAATAGTCTTACTAAAAAAAATCGTTCCTTGACGATATTTCTGATGAAAACTTTGAAGCTCGCAATTAGCAGAAAAAAGAAAAACCAACAGGACACACCAAACAAACTCAAAAACGAAAACAAACTCTCTTACCAAAACATTTTGATAAAACTAAACTCAAAAAATAAATAGAAGAAATGGCCAAACAGAAGGCACCGTAGGGTTTCTATGGCTTGCAAAAATGATGGATAGATATGTATACCTAGGGTTCCAAGCGCTCTTGAGAAAGCCCTGAATAATGGTGAAAAAAAGCTATGGCGAAGCTCCGGCCCAGGGTTTCAAGGGCATGGAAAAATGGTTATCAGAAGCAAATTTCTAGGGTTTCTAGCGCGTGTTAACCTGTTTAAAAAAAGAGCCTGCAAAAGGCTTAGGGTTTGAGAAGCTTTCGTAGGGGTGCAAACTACGGAACCATCCCTCATATTATTGAAATTGCGAAATGGTGTATGTACTTTTTGAAAAATATGGAAAAAATCCCTGTCAGCTATTGACTTATGATGATTTATCAATGAATAAAAAAATCTGGGATATTTTTTTGCCTTTGTTTCCATAACGTTGCAACCTTAAAGAATTCATTTAAGGTGCACGTTCAAATTTCATCATAACATAAAATTTTGATGTAAAATATTTTTAAGATTATCTCAAAATCTATTTTCATATCTAATTATAAAATATTTTTAAGATTATCTCAAAATCTATTTTCATATCTAATTATAAAATTTTAAACTTCAAAAATGATTAAAATCAAGTAGATCTATAAATATATGAAAATCTTGTAAATAGAGAGTCTAGATAATGTGTTGTAAGGTGCACCATTTTTTGGACTCAAAATTCTTTTTTTTTTCATAGTCATTCATCTCAATGTCGAGATGATCAATTAGAGGGTTTTTCAATATTAATACAACCTTTTCCGATGGATTTTTTAGATGTATCCATAGTTCTATATTTTAAGGTTGCAACCTTATATAAGTTTTCCCTTTGCGAAAACATATTCTACTCCTTCATTAGCATATTCTCATGCCTACATCTTTATGTAAAACACCAGGATTGATTTTAGGACCCTAATACATAGATTAATCTCAATAAAAAATATTCTTCAATTGCACCCTCTAAGTACTTTAAAAAATAATGTCTCGAGATTGAATATAAGAGATCCGATTTTTAGAGGGTGACATCTAAGTGACAGAAAACTCAAACTTCACTTTTTTTTTCTTTTCTTGAGAATGATCATCTACAGATTCTAAGGTGTTTAACAAAATGTTAGATCGAAAAAATACTCCTAAATAGGTCTAAACTGAGTAGAAGAAAAGTATGATCTCGAGGGAGCATAGAATACCTGCTCTATTTTTTCTAATTCTATTATGAAGAAGGATTTTGGATTTAAAATTTAAAAAAATGAAAATCTCAACCATGAAGATTAGGAACGCTGAAAAAATAAATTTTAATTATAATAAATGAAACAATTTTTATATTTGTACACTCTTGACTTTAAATATTTAGGGATCACCATTTTTGAACATCTATCTCCAAGGTGGACGTTACACGCATTAGGGGACACTAAGCATGTCCCCTGACGCAGGCACTACTTTTCTTTTCTTTTCTTTTTTCTAAAAAGTGTGATTTATAGCAATGTTTTAAAATGCGGCCGTATCCCCGCATATGCAGCTATATCAGGTAGTATGCAGTGGGCACTGTATCGAAAAAGACTGCATATGCGGTTTGGAGGTATGCGGGCGTGCACTGCATCAGAGCACATTTGAGCCTTAGAGCGCATTTGGCAGCATACTGTTCTGCAATGTTATTTTTGATTGTGCCCTTCGAGGATGGGCAAAATGGTCTTTTTTACCATAAAAAATTGGGGGAAATAGTATAGGGGTATTAAACCCCCAAAATGAGCATTTACGGCTACTTTCGTGACTTTTTTTGGATCAAATCGAGCAAAAAAAAAAAACGGTGAAAATTGTTTTTCATTGAGATCTTGGATTTGGGAATTGTTTGATACTTTGATCTTGATTTCAACCTTTTGATTGTTGATTTGAGGAAGTTTAGGTGAATTTGTGACAAGAAATCGGGGTTTTCAAATGTTGTGAAGAAATCGAGCACTGCATCAAAAATCGGTAACTTTTTATTCCTTGTACCGTAATACTTATTTTTGGAGCAATGTTTTCATCCCAATCTTCTAGTAATAAGGATCTGACTTGAAAATATGTCAAACTAACAAATCTGAAAGATAGAAATTGTGTGATTTATATGCTCTGTGAAAATACTTATATGGGTGGCATTTTTCGATAAAAATAATATTTAGCCGAAATTTATGAGAATGTAAGAACATGCCCAATAGCTACCGATGAAATAAAAAATGAGATTAAAGAATACATTGATGGATTGAAAAAATATTAAAGAGAAGAAAGAAATGAAAAGAAAAGAATTACTTGATGATACGCAGTTATTTGATGATGATGTTGATGATTATGATAATGATGATGATATATCTAAAGTTGCAACGAGGGAAATGGGTAATCGAACTTCAATATCAAGAGAGAGGATTATAAATATTGGTGGTAGTGTTGAAAAAATAACACCTAAGGAAGGGGCTAATGGATGTTTTTTTCACCCCTAACCCTGAAATTATGGTTCAGGAGAGAGAAAAAACAAAACAAACTACAATTGAAAATAGATACAAGAAAGAACCGAGGAAGTTGGTATATAAGTGGATTACAAAGTGGTTTTATATGGCCAACATTCCTTTTAATATTATAACTCTCGATAATTTTACATGTATGGTCCAGGCAATTGGGCAATATGGCCCAGGACGTATTCCTTCTTCATTATATGATGTTAGAGAGCCATTTGTCAAAGGATGTTGTATTTGAAGTCAACAAAATTTTGATTTTTCAAAGAGAATGGTGGGAGAAATATGGGACCACTATTATGTGTGATGATTGGTTCGTTAGGAAGTCGATGAGATTCATTAATTTTTTGGTTAACTGTCCAACATGTACTTTTTTTGTTAAGTATGTTGATACATCAAACAAATCACATGATGCTACATACTTTATATGGCTTGATGGATGAGATTGCAGAGTTTGTTGGAGAGAAAAATGTGGTATAAATTGTCACTAACAATGGTGCCAATGATATTGCAATTGGGTATTTCTTGACTTTAAAAATGACGCATATGTTTTGGACTCTTTGTCCAACTCATTGTGTTAATCTTATGCTTAAGGAAATGGGTACATATTTATTTAGTGGGATGATTTCAAGAGTTATGTTTGTTGTTGGATTCATTTACAATCACACCATAGTCCTAAGCATGATGAGATTTTTTATAAAGAAGAGGGAATTAGTGCGACCAGGTATCACTAGATTTCCCATATCATTTCTCACTCTTCGAAGCCTAGCCAAGCAAAAAAGTGCCTTGTGGACTATGTTTGTTTCAGAGCAATAGAGTCAAAATAAATGGTCAAAGCATAAGGATCGGAGAAAGGTTGAAAAAAATATTCTGAATACATATTTTTTGAGTCAAATAAATCTTGCATTGGAGGTTATTCGCCCTTTAGTGTGAGTACTTCGACTAGTTGATGGTGATGTGAAGCCCACCATGGGCTACATACATGAGGGAAAGAGTAGAGATAAAAAATGTTTTACATGATGGTGAAATATATGTGCAAGGCTACACTTAAAATTATTGATAGGAGATGTGATACCCAGCTTTACAGGCACCTCCATTCAGTCAGTTACTTTGTAAATCCATCTCTTCACTACAAGCATCCATCCATTGAGTCAGATCATGTAATAAATGGTGGGTTCTTAGATGTGCTTGAGAGGATGGTGCCTGACAAAGATATTCAGGATGAGATCTAGAGCCATGAATTGATTAAGTTCAAGTTAGCCTTGGGAAACTTTGAGAGAGATATTGCTACTCAAAATAAGGACATTACAGATCCAAGTAAAGGCCAAAAATACCTTTACTTGTCTATGATTTTATGTATAGTTTTATTATTTATTTGTTTACCCTTAATTTTTATCTATAATATAATCTAAATTATAAAATATTATACAGCTACATGGTGGGCATTATATAGAAGCGAGACACCAAATCTACAATATCTCGCTATTGAAGTGTTGAATCTCACATGTAGTACATCTGATTGTGAACGCAATTAAAGTGCATTTGATCATGTAAGCACTTAACTCCTTATTCCTTAATCTTTATTTCTTGAATTTCAATTTCAATTTTATAGTACAAAATCTACTTTCAATTTTCAATTTTCTAATATAAAATCTAATTTATCTATTCAATTTTCAATTTTCTACTATAAAATCTAATTTATCTAATTTCAATTTTCTACTACAGCTCCATGCAAAAAAAAAAAAAAGGTTGGAGCAAAAAAAGTTGAATGATTTGGTTTATGTGCGATATAATGAGCAGTTTAGGGAGATGTACCAAAATTACATGAAGTTCAACCCTATTCAATTGTATGAAGCTGATGGTGATTCCACAAGTGAGTGGACTATGGATCCAAGACTAGAGCGTATGTTTGAGGATGAAGATCTTGCATGGTTCGATGTTGAGCTAGCAACAGGAGCTAATAAGAAGATCGACAAAAAGGAGTAAAGGAGTTGGGTCTAGTCGTATTCGCACATCAGCTCCAAAGGTCTAGGAGAAGGAGGCTGACTCTGAGGAGACCAAGGAAGAAGAATACGTGGAGGCTGTTGATGATGATATTGATGATGCACATGACGACTCTTAAGATAACTTATTTGATTAATATTTGAAAAATTGACTTCAAAATTTTCTCTCAAGATGACTTCTATGATGAATGGACGATTGTATTAAATATTTAACTCTTCTTGAGCTTGACTTCAAAACTCTTTAATTTCCATGGAGACATGGACTTTTGGTTTATAGTATCACTATTTTATAACTTTAAAATTTGTGGTTGCAAATTTGTGCTTATGGTTGTTGATTGTTGAATGTTTTATGAAGCTAGTTTCAAGTTTCTAGTTTCTATCAGGAGGTAGTAGATACAAAATCTCCGACAGCTAATATTTTTGAAGTTAATCATTAAACTAAAATACCTACTATCACATATATCACATCTATTTTTTTTTTTTCTATGCATTAACCTGTTTTCTTTAGATTTTTAAGAATTTTTTATGTTCATTGACCGCATCGTCGCAATGCACCTGCATCCGGACCGCATTGAGCCGCATCGGTCCCCCCCACCGCTTTTGGCCGCATCGGGCAGTGATTTCATGCAACGGTTGTATAATAATATAATGCGACAACCTTCAAAATCTATTTTAGGGCTATTTGTTTGATCCAAATTTAAAAGTATACACTCTTTTCAGTCTAATGAACAATAAAAAAAAACGCAGTCTAAAAAGTTTTTTTTT